GCAGATATCAAGGGGACAGTCAGCCTGAAAGGAAGGGAACTCTACCATGGGACAACAGGAATGACATGAGGCACAATGACCCTCGGGGTTGTCATAGTCACACACATAGACCCACACACACACACACACACACACACACACACACACACACACACACACACACACAAAGAACAACAACAACGGCCAGGCGGTAGTGGCGCACGCCTTTAATCCCAGCACTCGGGAGGCAGAGCCAGGAGGATCTCTGTGAGTTCGAGGCCAGCCTGGGCTACCAAGTGAGCTCCAGGAAAGGCACAAAGCTACACAGAGAAACCCTGTCTCGAAAAAAACAAAAACAACAACAACAACAAAAAAAAAAAAAACCTGCGATGTACTCACTTTGAATCTGGATGCCTAGGAATGAACAGCCAGGGCCAAGAGCACTTTGGAGAAAGATGATGTTATGGCTGTCTTACATGAATGCACTTAATGCCACTGAATTACATAATTAAACATGTTTATAAATTATAAACAAAAACAGAGCTAACCAGAGGATAGTAAATTTTTGTTTGTTTGTTTTTCGAGACAGGGATTCTCTGTGTCATTTTGGTGCCTGTCCTGGATCTCGCTCTGTGCACCAGGCTGGCCTCAAACTCACAGAGATCCACCTGGCTCTGCCTCCCGAGTGCTGGGATTAAAGGCATGCGCCGCCACCGCCCAGCAGATAATAAATTCTTAAAACCAAGACCAACCACTGGCGGCAGTGAACACACAGAGCTAGGCTCCTGTGTCCCAGTCACAATGACACTGGCTTCTAAATAAGTAATTGAAAGTTTGTACATTCCCAGTTGTCACTGCCTCTGGGACTTCCCACCCATTTTTCATGCAGAAGCCATCAGAGTGTCTGTGCTGCCAGCCCCAGATTCCTTCTGGCACACGGATGTCCAGAGGAGCAGCCAATGCCCACACAGACATCAGACTGTATACACCCCGTGTGTGTGTGTGTGGGGGGGGTCCCCTTCTACTCACCCAACATCAATGATGGAGGTGCTGTTCTTCACAGCCAGAGCCACACACTTTCCACCCTCGCTTGTTATTCTGTTTTTCCCCAGTCTGCAGAGAGAGGGATGCACACTTGGTTAGCCTCTGTTCCGGGCTCCACAGTAGGCCACCCTCCTTCCCAGCACTGAGCCCACCCAGGCCTTCTCACCAGTGTGATCTTGTACCTGGCACACAGGTACAGCATGTATCCATGCTGGGGGCTTCCCCTCAGGGAGGGACCCACAGCCTGGGACCAGTGTGGAGGCCCACAAAGGTTTCCTAGTGAGATCTGAGCTTGCTTTACCCAGCAGAGCTGCATTAGAGGATTCCTTGACCATGTGCATGGTTTCTAGGTGATTGGAAGGGTCTACAGTTGGCTGAGCTAGGGGGAGGTCTTTTGCTCCACTCCTTGGCATTTCTATAAATAGCTCTTTAGAAAAGCCAGGAGGAGCAGGTGGATAAGAATCCAGGCCCTCCCGAGGCTCTCTTGTGTTTCTATGTATTTCTCTCCTCTCTATCCTTCTATGTAAATCTCTTATCCCTCACTCCTCAAGAGTACCCTGGGGTAAAATGTGGGAGCTGGTCTCCCAGCTGGTCTCCCACAGACCAGCCACCAGTGTCCTCCCTAGGAGGTAGCCCCTGATCTCTGCTGGTGGCCAACCATTGGAGCCTTTCCTGGGGTTCTCTAAGTGACCCCAGGACCATCACTCATTTTTAACAGGCTCGAGATTGCCCATATTTATTGACAGTGGTTAAGATGGGTGTTTCCATTACCAGGACTGGATGACCAACAGCCTGAAGGGGCACATCTATGATAGCGCCAATGGTCAAGCTCCCTTGAACCTACCAAAGAAAGGGGATCTTTCTCTGGTATCCCAAAAAGGACCATAGATACAACTCTCCCTTCCAGCCAGGAGTTAGGGAGACTAAAGTGGTGACGCCCCACACTGGGGCGTATTCCCTCCACAAGATGAGCACACCTGGCCAGTTGGACCAGTATGGCCATGGGGCTGGCAGATATGTTAGAGTGAGATCTCTTGATGGTGACACTGCTTCTTCTAGTAACGGAAAAGGTGATCCAGATGTTTGTAGAGAAAACAAACTTCTAAGGAGTCCCTGCCCCTTCCCCACTTACTTACTTAAGGTGCGTGAGGCTTCTGCATTCATCCAGGATTTGGGCCACATACCTGGCTCCGATATCAGTGATCTGGTTGTTGTACAAGCTTGGAGAGAAAGCACGGCCAGGGTGAGTCACAGTGTCTCCTGAACACCTCCTCCTCTCGTGAGTCCATGCTGCCTGCTGATTTCCACTGTCTGCATTGAAAGGGGACCTCACAGAGACCAGTGTGGGCTCTGCATCGGCCTGACTCCAAAGCCAGCTCCCTTACTTCCCTTCAGTGCTGAATCCAAACACCTCTCTTCCCATGGTCACAGGGAGTATGTGCCACCATGCACAGCCCTGGCACACGATGCTCGGTAAATGCAGGTGGTGGTGATTCAGGTTTTCTGAAGGGTAAAGCCCTGTGTCCATTTCTTTTCCAACCATTCTGATGGAAAACTAAGACCAGAAACGCAGGGAGGCTTCTCTCTACTAACACTCATCATACATAACAGAGAGGAGCATGGGACCTTTTGCTTTTGTGTCCTCATGTTCCAGAGGCCCAAGAGTACTCAGCCACTGCTCCAGTGATGAGATCAGCAGCAGTCATGGGGCCACTTGCCCTCACCTCAAACTCCAAAACTCGAAGCTCTTTGTAACTGATTTAGCAACCGATTTGGGTCTATGAGTGGTCTTTACTTAACCCTACCTGGTTTGAGTAGTCACTTATTTTTCTGCAGCACTATTGAAGTACTTGAGGAGGGCACTACCTAGGACCCCTCTGGCTGTGTCACTGCTATTCAACACATATATGCCCCTGCCCTGGACCTAGGAGCAGATCCAAAGTCGTCAAGTCTAATGTATTAACAGGTATTTTAACATCTACAAAACCTATCCCCACATCCTTTCTCTTCATATCCTCCAAAATAGCTTGCCTGGATGGGGTCCAGTTTTTACAAGTAAGGAAGCCTTGGCCCCACAAGTGTTTGTGAATAGCTCCAGTTCTACCTAGATATCAGCTAAGCCTAGACCAGAACCTGGAGCCACGTGTGGTGGTGCATGCCTGTAACACCAGCATGTGGGAGGCTGAGGCTGGAGGATGCCAGCACCGGCCACGGTTTCTGTCACCAGTGGACCATGGCTGTCAATTTCCTGCTACTTAGAACTATGACGAGGCCACAGGCCCGATGTCCTCCAGCAGGACTTACCCCAGGAATGTCACGATTCTGTACTTGGTCAGTCCTTCACACAGCACCTTCGCCCCTGTGTCCGTGATCTGATTGACACTGAGTCTAAAATACAACAGCAAAAAAACAACTGCCAGTCAGGGCAGAGGAACTTCCAAGGGAGTATTCAGCCTCAGAATTCAGCTGCCTGTAGGCCAGGGCCAGCAACAGGGCTGCAGTCTAGCCCTGAAGCAGAAGGGTCGCACAGGCTAAGACGGGCACCCACAGCCAGCCACTTCCAGCTGTCTCCAACATCCTGCATTTGGCTTCTCCATCTTTTGTGCAGAGGGTCATGGGGTCTGAAATGTAAGGGGCTGCCTTTAGGGATCACGACCACTGGGGGTATCCTTGCATTTTAAGAGTGGAGTCAGGACAGGAGATAACTTGCAAAATACAGGACAGGACAGTCCCCACTGGAACGGACCCACCTCAAATGCAGGAGGAGGAGGCCTGGCATCCTGCTACCCCCGGAAATTGCTCTTTTGAAGCAGCTCTGTGTTGGAAATCTCAAGAGAAACCAATAGCTTTCTGGGAAAGGGTGGGTCTTGGCAGCAACCCCCTCCAGCTTCTCCCAGTGCAAGCGCCGCCTGTGCAGGCCAGGCTGGGAACAGGCACACAGAAGAACAGGAAAATGGGGCCTCTGGGACTGGTTCCCTGTAGGTCAAGGGCCAGCCACAGACTGAAAACTTCTCCAGGAAAATTTCTGAACCAGCAGAATAGCTTCTCATGAGCAAAATGTGCATGCGTGAATGTATTTATTGGATAAATAATGCATACAAATCTCCAGGGGTAAATAATACATACAAAACCTGGGGCTTGCAGCATGCTAGGCAAGTGTGCCACTGAGCTACCAAAAACTTTCTTTTCTCCCCTCCACCCCTCCTCCTTTTCTCCTTCTCTTCCCACCCCAAGCAATCCTGTAACAAGCTACCTTGACCTTGAAGAAAGGAAGCAGTTGAGAGACAAGGTCAGAGCAGGACTCCCAAGAGGGGACCAGATTGAGGGGGGGTGGTGATCAGATTTTCTACGCTAAGACCAGCTGGGAAGTGGTGAAGGCTGTGCCGGGCCAAGCATATCTGCTCAACCATAGAGTGTGAAACAACCGAGAAGTAGATGGCAGGTGTGGCTGCGCTCCAATAAAACTTTATTTACAAGCACAAGCCACGGACTAGGTTTGACCCCAAAGGTGACATCGATGGCAATTAAAAAGAGAACAGAAAAAGCTTTGTCATTGAGCCACATCAAAAAGATAAGGGCAGCCTCTCAGGACCCGTCCCTTACAGTATCAGACTGGATGCAAGCACAAGGTACACACTGCACAGCTATCCTTGTTAGGTCTCAAACCCGGGACCAAAGGCTGAGATGCCTATTAACATATCAAAGTGAACCCTGGCTGCCAGGTCCTCCCAGCATCCCTCAATCCCTACCTGGAATAGGGTCCTCCTGGCTGGCTTACCCTGCCCCTGTCCTGCCCTTTCCAGCTCTTCCCCTTAGCTGTTCTTCCCTATATAATTGGGCCATTTTGGCTATGCCAGTGTGTTTTCACCATTGTTTTTCTTCTGGCCTCTTGGTCTCCTGGCTCTCCTCACCCCCTTCCTCACATGGCCTGGCTTGATCTGCTGCTCATGTCCACTCTGGACTCTCCCAGATGTTTCTGCCTCAGGCTATGCTTTCCCTCACATCTACAATAAACCTTCTTCTCTACCATACCTGGGAGCAGCCACTGCCTCTTTTTTTCATTCAATCCCAACATGGCAGGTGCTTCTGGTGTCTGTGTGTTCTTAGCAATACAATCCCCTGTTCTCCCTTCCTCTTTTCCAGCTTGGCACATGCAATTCAGTCCTGTCTAAAGAAACCTAGGAAGTTGTATCGTAGGCAAGAGCTTTTGAAAACTGTTAGGGGTGTTCAATAGTAGAGTGCTTGTGTGGCATGTATGATGCCTCCAGTTCAAACCCCAATATTGAAGAAAAAAATTAAAAAAAAAATAGGACAGGTCCTTCTTTTGATTGCTTCTGGCTACCATACTAAGGAGTTGTCTGGAGCTATCTTGGGCAACCATATTGGGTCAGGATGTAGAAGCCAGGTAAAACAAAAGAGAGCCTGGGTTCTGATCAGAAAGACAACATATCATTCTTTAATTGTCTGCTCCTAGGCTTTGCTCCAGAGAGATATAACATATGTACACTTTCAAAATTTGATGTTTCCTCAAATTCTTTACTGCAATTAATCCTACCTGATGTCCTCAGGGAATTCAAGGTACTTCCATCTGGTCGACCATAAGCCCTGCTTTCCTATAAGCTGCCTTTTCCTTTGCTGGTGTGGGGAACAGCCAGACAGGGCAGGATCCCACTCTGCTGCTGAGTTCCCCCTTGCAGAGCAGGCACTGAGCAATGCTGGGTGGAGATCGCCAAGGAGAGTGGACGACTTACAGCCCAGAGGACAGATGCTGGCCTTTGGTTCTAGACTGCCACCTTCGGCTTCGTATACCCCAAGTCCACACACGATTTTCACTCTGGTTCCCAGGCCTGAGATTGAGCTCCAAATCCCCACTGTTCTGCAGAACTGAATGAGCCAAACTGTGGCAGAATTTCTGAGCCTCAGACTTATCTTCAAGGGCTGGTCTTCCCCTTCTGGCCACACCACATCTCAGCTGTGGGGCCTGCAGCAATTCATTAACTTCTCTGTGCCTTGCTTCCCATTACTCACTTTCCGTATACACTGCTGTTGGCTTGGCCACGCTAGGACAATTGCAGCTCTCCGCCCTGCCCCCGGGGCTCCCCAAGATTACACAGTTACAAAACACCCAGCTGAAGCTGAACTGGTCACCTGACGGACTCACTTTTCTCCATGCCTCCCCTCCCGCACCCCCAGACAGAAAGGTTGAGTCCCTGTGTAATGGGCGAACCAAGAATCCTGACCCCCCATTACCAGACCTGTGGCCCCACGCCTGTCTGTCCGTCCCTCTCACCCATTTCAGCTGGCAGCCTCACCTGATGACCGTGAGGCGGCTGAAGCAAGGCTGCAGCTCCTGCACTCCGTAGTCATTGAGGTTGTTGTTGTCCAGATCCAGGGCCAGCTGCCTGTGGAAGTGGTGCAGGACGAAGGACAAGGCGCTGCAGTCGGCAGAGCAAGCGTTGCAGAAGGCCAGCTTGAGGTAGTCGGCGCTGATGCCCCTGGCGGCTAGGCGTCCCACCTTCTGGCTCTGTGTCTCGTAGATGCAGCGCAGCATCCACAGGAATGTGGGCATGGCATGCACCTGATTAAAGCCTCCGCTCTGGACCCGGGGCAGACTCTTCAGGTAGGAGCGCAGGCTGGCGAACAGGTGAGCCCACAGGGCCTTGCGCTTCCTCCTCAGGGTAGCCTTGGGCACCAGCTGCCGAAGGAGTTTCTGTCTGGCTTTGGCCAGCAGCCCGCACAGAAAGAGGTTGGTGAACTGGAAGTGGTCTTTGTTCCTGAAAGGATCAGGGCCCAACCGGCTACCGCCACCCAGGCACTGAAAGGAGAAGAAGGACGGATAGCAGGACGTGCTTGATGTCTCCCCAGGAGACGTCCACTCTCGAAAGAACCTCAACAACTCCCGGGTGCCCACTTTGTCATCTGCCACCAGGAAGAAGGCAGTGAAGAAAGCCTGGAGCGTGAGATGGAAAAACTCATAAGACTGCTGGCCCTGCTCAGGGCCCACGTCGGGCAGAGGCCGCAGGAAGCCCAGCTGCAGATCCCCCTCCTGCAGCTTCGACGTCTGCACCTCCTCCTGGCCAAACACAAAGAGGCTCTTGTCGGTGCCTCGGTGCGCCACCTGGCCCAGCGCGTGCAGCGTGCGCCAGCCTGCGCGCAGTGTCTCTGCCGGGCTGCGTGTATTGCGCTGCACCAGGCTGCTGGGCTGCGTCCTGTTCAGATGCACCTCAGTGACTAGCAGGAAGACATCGGTTAGGGTCACGGCACAGTCTGGCAGCTGGGAGGAGCCCTCGAAGGCCGTGTGGAAATGCTGGAAGCAGCGGAAGATGATCCAGCAGAAGAGCGGCACTGCGCACAGGCTGCAGAGGTTGGGGTTGGCATCCAGCTGCTGCAGCAGATGCTCATGAGCTATGCGCTCGGGGAACATCCTGCGGGCATAGGCGCGCAGGTGGCTGGGGGAGAAGCCCCGGAGCAGCACCTTTTTGCGCAGAAGCTGGCGGGGGACCTCCACGCCTGTACGGGCGGTGAGCAGCTTGCCCGCGCCCTTGAGCAGCCTCCCGCTTAGGAGGTTGGCCAGTAAGACCAGCGGGTGTGCCGGCTCCCAGGGGCAGCAGCTGTCCGGGACGCGGCTCAGGTCGAAGTCCGAGTGCAGCTCATCCAGGCCGTCGAAAGTGAAGAGCGCTGTGTGGGGAAAGCGTAGCAGGAAGGAGAACACCTCCTCGGGGTCCTGCTCCGGGTAGCAGAAGTGCTTGAAGAGCAGGTCCTGCAGACTCAGCGTGTCGCTCTCCTTGAAGCAGCTGAACATGCGGCAGCGGAAGTGGAAGAAGAACTTGGCTGTGGAGGCCAGCCTGCCGGACGCCCAGAGGCTCTGCAGCCGCTGCAGCAGCATGGACTTGCCCACTCCCGCGTCCCCAAACACGAAGACAGTCTCGCCATGCTCATTGAGGATGCCGGTGCTGTGGTCCAGCAGGCAGTCCAGGCCTCCCAGGCTGCCCAGGTTTTCGTTGTTGAAGCCTACTAGTTCCATGAGTGTGTCCATGTAGGTCTCCTCCAGCAGCAGGTCCTCTTTTTGGGCGTAGCACATCATGAACTTGGAGTCGCGGCCCAGTTGGTGTCGCAGCTGCTGGGTGTACCTGCTCACTGGAGCGGGGAGGGGTGTTTCCCAGCAACCAGGTGAGGGGACATGGAATAGATGCGTTAAACAGGGCGTCTTGGGACAGAGAGCACACAAGCAAACAAACACACAGCCCAGACTCTGAGCCAAGGCATTGACTCCTTTATCAGGAGCCCCCAGGGCCTCAAAGAGCCAGTGTCCCAGAGCTTGAGGGTCAGGCCTTCCCTCCCTCTGCTTGGCTTCAGGTTTAGCCAGCTGGAGGGCTGCAGGCCCCTCCAGGTCAAGTGTCTGAGACAGGCCTCCCTTGTTCCTCTGCACAATGTTGTCATTGAACTCTAGAGACAGAAGCCACTCACACTTGAGGGCCAGGCCAGCCAGCTCTGCTGCCCCACCGCAGGCCACAGGCCTGTTTGAATAGCAGAGTCAGTCTCCCCCCTCCCCCCCGAAAGTCTTGTATAGGGGGAAATTATCCCAGCCTTTCTTTGGTTCTTTAATAAGGATCTGATAAAACTGTATGACAAAACTTTTGGTTAGAAAATACAAGGCTGGGCATTAATCTGATTTGCAGAGGATCTATCTGTGTCTGGCCTCAAACATCACAACTAAAAATGCTGAGCTAAAACAGTATAACCTCTGGCTCCCAGGGTGAGCACCTAGAGTTATAGATGCTCAGTGTAAGCTCCAAGGGTGAGCCCCAGTGCCTTCCCTCACACCCCTGCCTGTAGTCCTTCGAGGGCTGACTCCTACCTGGGTCAGTATTGAAGATGGTTTTGCTCCGAATGAGCTGGGAAGGAGAGAAGCCGATCTCTGATAGCCACAGCCTGAGGTCCACATAAGCGTCCTCGAGCTGCTGGAGCACGTAGAGGAAGAACTCGGACACCTCTTCACCTTTGCTCTGCACCAGGTCAAGAATTTTTCGGACCTATGGATGGCACCAACATTAAGAGCCTGAGCTGGTGTGAAGGGCATCCTCCGGTCAAAAGGATCCCGGGGTACGCTCAGCTTAGGGTTGCAGGTGCCAGTACAGTAGTGATAACCTGACCACCTGCGTACATACCCAGTGTAAGAGTCAGCACAGACTCTGCAAAGTGGGCCTCTTTAGCAAGAGTTCATCCCCAAGGCAAGAAGAGCCCAGGAAGCATCTAATCTCCCTCCTAATCTCGTGTCACTACCATCCAGGGACAAGGGTGCTAGGAGGTAGTCACCCTATAGACAAGAGGAAGTAGTGTATCTGAGCTACTCTGCAGTAGAGTAACAGACTCCCATCAAATCACATGTTCAAAATGGTCTTTTCATTAAAAACACAGGCAAAGCAATCAGGAGCTGGACATGGTGACACACACCTAAGTCCCAGAGCTTGGGAGACTGAGGCAAGAGTATCAGAGTTTCAGCTCCACCTAGACTGCAAAGGGGGATTCTGTCTCAAAAAGCCAAGAAAGGGGTGGTGGTGGTCAAGAGAGGAAACCAAAGCATACCAGTGTGCTGTGCCCCCCCAGAAGTTCTTTGGGTGTCACTTAGCCCCTCCCTACCTCATCTCAAATAGGCGCTTCATTTTTCTATCCAGGGACTTATGGGACTCTTTTATTTCTCAGATGATGCGCCCAAGCTTAGGAAACCAAGGGTTGTTTTACTTCCTCATTTATAGCGTGGGAAAGTCTTCAGTGGGGTCCCACCTTGGGAGGCAGTCATTTCTACATCTGGCTTTTGGGTGGCTACCCCGAGTCTTTGCCTCTGTGCCCTTGGGGTGTGGAGGCACTGGGTGTCATGCTCTTCCTCACCTACTCATTTAAGGCCCCCTTAAAGTTGCCTAGGTATCGACACACACAGCAGAGGGAGCTGACATGGAAGCGTTTGTTCCAGCCTCAAACAGAAGTAAGCTGACTGGGTAGGAAGCTCAAACTTGGGGCATTTATTTATGTTCTACCAAGACCCCAGCGTGAGTGCACATCTATAATCAGTCTTTTCTGTATTAAGCTGAGGCCCAAGTCTGAAAACAACCCGAAGACCCCAGTGTGAATGCACACCTGTAATCAATACTCCCTGTGCTACAGAAGCGGGGGGGGGGAAGCACGTGTTATAGCAATAACAAAAACAAAGACCCCAGTGGGAACTCGGTCCAATATACCAAATTCTCCCTTTGCCTGGGTCAGGAGGGGGGAAACCCAGGTCAGAAACTGTCAGCACCAACGTCCCTCACTGCACCTTGTCAGGGTTGGTGGGCCAAGCACACACGATCTCTGCATCTTCAGCTGAGAAGTAGCCATTCCTCAGCAAGTTGTCCAGCAGACACTGAGTGTTACGGATGTTGGTGACCAGATGTTCCCTGTTGATCGTCAACAGTTTAATGTAGGAGTGACAGCCCAGTGGGATGGCTTCCATCTCATGATGGCCCTGCTTTTCCATAGTTCCAGAAGCCAGCAGCTACTTTTCTCAAATTCATCTTTGACCACATGTGTCTCCCTGACAGACAGGCAATCAGGATTCAGGGCCACCGTCCAGGATCCTGCCTTTCATTGCTGACCCTGAAGGGAAAAAGGACATTGTCAACAAAGCAAATGTCACCGAAGGATTCGCCCTCTCTCCCATCTCCCATTGCTCCTTGCGTTACTCTACCTCCAAGAGGAGGGTGTCATGCCAAAGAACTTTATCAGGGAACGTACTGAACAACAGCAACAATCACAATTCATTGCTGTTGGCGGGATTCCGCACCGCTAATTGTATTAGCCTTTCTGTCACAGCAGCAAGAGAACAATGTTGAGGAGAGAATAGTTAGTCTCCTCTTGGTTTCAGTCCTTCGCTCTGGGGAAGGCATGGCAGAGCAGCCCTGTCTCCTCATGGAGACCAGGGAGAAGAGAGTGAGAAAGAGGGAAGAAAGGTGGCCACCAGGACCCAGGACTTCAGTAAGTGACTCCCAAAAGGCATCCAGCTGACCACACCAAATTCAAATAGTTAGTCATACTGAGTCTCAGGCATGCTGTGGCATGGTCTGTATGTCAAATTGCTCTGATTGGTCAATAAATAAAACACTGATTGGCCAGTGGCTAGGCAGGAAGTATAGGCGGGACTAACAGAGAGGAGAAAAGAAAGAACAGGAAGGCGGAAGGAGTCACTGCCAGCCGCTGCCATGACAAACAGCATGTGAAGATGCCAGTAAGCCACAAGCCACGTGGCAAGGCATAGATTTATGGAAATGGATTAATTTAAGATATAAGAACAGTTAGCAAGAAGCCTGCCACGGCCATACAGTTTGTAAGCAATATAACTCTCTGTGTTTACTTGGTTGGGTCTGAGCGGCTGTGGGACTGGCAGGTGACAGATTTGTCCTGACTGTGGGCAAGGCAGGAAAACTCTAGTTACACAGGCATCATCCTTTGAAGGAGGATAAAATACTCTAACATTGGGTTGGGGTGGCCTTCTCCCCTTAGGCCCTCACTATCTTTCTGGAATCTGCAAAGCTAACGAAGGTAGAGATGGCAAAAACTGCTTGTGTACACAGTAAGCACAGGAGAAGCCAGGAAAGTTAAACTCGCAGGCATCCTTCAAAGGCAAGAGATGTTTCACCTGCTCCCCCTGGGATGCTGGGACCGGGTGTAGCTTACAACCTGGTGATCCTCTGCTGTCTGATGAGCCAGGCTCTGCCCATCATCTCCCAGAATTCCTGTTTTACTTACCCCAGATCCGTTTCTTCTAAAACCTTGAGCATGACTTCTAGGTTCATCCTTGTGAGAGATGCCATTTGTACTTTACAGCAGTGACTTCTATGGTATCCTAGGCCAGCCATTATGTTTACCTCAGCCATTCTCCCTAGACCTTTATCTTGAACTTTGTTCCTAAGCCAGCAAGAACCCATCTTACAGATGACGCCAACGTAAAGAGCTTCAATGTAAACATGTCTTGAGCTTGTTGTACTCACAGGGCTGAGTTAATTGTTACCAGAAAACTTTCCCCCAAACTGTGCTGTGCTTAAATACGGCTAAAGTAAAGGATCTGGTGTCAGACTCCAGAACTTCTTGCCCAGCACCAGCACCAAAATCAGGCTGTTCCGAGTTTCGTTCTGGTATTTCTGCAGATAGTTTCCCTGCCAGTTGTAAAGCCCAAAGGGACCCTTCCACACAAAGAGAGTCTCTTTTTTATATTTCAACTTTAGTATAAAAAAAAACTGCAAAAAAATAAAATAAAATAAAATAACACGCTGTAATTAGCCAGATCCTAAGACTATATATTTCAATGAACTTCTGTACAGTTAAAACAGTCATTTGGAAAGAAAGCTATGGAATTTCACATTGGGTTTTGCTCTTCCATAATCAAATACTTATTCACCACCCCAAATGAAAACCCTATGACAGAGTTAGAATTAGAAAAACTATTAGCTTTATACCCTTTCATAATTCATGTTTATTTCCTACATTCAGTCTTGTTTGTTTTTTGTTTGTTGAAACAGGGTCTCCTTATATAGCTCTGACTGCCGGGATTAAAGGTATGCCCGGACTTGTTTTTGTTTTTAAATGGTATTTGAGAGTGCTGGGAAGTCAGCTCAGACAGTGAAGTGCTCCCTGTGCACACATAAGGATCCCCTCAGCACCCATTTGAAAGCGCCAGAGATGAAGGCACGTGCCTGGAATCCCAGCACTGAGGAGTCAGACAGGAGGATCCTGAGGGCTCCCTGGCCAGTCAGGCTGCTGGATTCCATAGCTACAGGTTCAGTGAGACACAATCTCCAAAATTAAAAAAAAAAAAGGAAGAAAAGGAAGAAAAGAAAAAGAAAGAAAGAAAGAAAAGGAAAAAGAAAGTAGTCGGCACCTGAAGAGGACAATATTAGCCTCTGGCCCACATCACATGGGTACGTATGCATATATACAATCAATCAATCAACATTAAATGTCACTGGACTGAATCACGAATGACTGAAAATGGTGATAGAACCTCACAGTACTCTGCAGTTTTCTTCTCTGAAGGCCATGTTTCTCCACTATCAGCCATTGGGTGCCATGTCTCTTTGCCACACCTAAGGTCCCACCTGTACTTTAATCTTGCTTTGGGGACTGTGGGGGCTCCTTAGGAAAGGAGGAGGTACATGCAAGAGGAGGGAGGTGGTAAACGGCAATCAGGATGAATGGAAACACCACAAGAAATCATACTATTAACTGTTTATGAAAGAACACCTATAATCCATGTAATTCTGTGTATAAACATATGTATATAGTCTTAATGAAATTTCCTCATCCGGGCTGGCAATGCTTCCTCAAACAGCCAAAGATCACCTAACAAGACCTGAAAACCAGACGTTAGAAGCCCTCTTTTGATTTGTTGGGCATAACTATCTAAGAGACTCTCAAAACACACAACCTATTGCTGTTGCCCATGGTTACCACCCTCCTTCCCCAGAGGTGGAAGGTAAGTCCCAATTGCTGAGGACACCATCTACTTCAGAAACCGGGTCGAGAGACCCCTGAGCTGGAACTGACCTGAACGTCCCTCCCTGAGGACCAGCTGTCTTGATACCAGAAGGCCCTGTGCAAGCTTCCGAAGGAAGGAGGCAACCCATAATCTTACCAGCTGTGAGGCCTATGGGTCACATCAACGGCCAGCATGGCACAAGAACCCTGAGGGCGCAGTGGCGGCACATTGGTGGTAACCAACAGCTCTCTAGTTGGACTTAAGACCTGTTCGGCAATAGGGAACAATGCCTGGTACTGGAAACCTCGCTAACTACTCTGCACTAGTGAAGTCATGGTTACTGGAAGAGAATTTACAACAACTAATTTATTAAACCAGCATAATCCCAACCAACGGTTCATAAACATTTGTCCTTGTACCCACAGATAAGCATCCTCCTCCTTATCCTTCATCAGGGAAACTTTTCACAACAGACGGAGACCACTATAGAAAGTCACAACTAATAAAAGAAAAAAAAACAAAAAACAAAACAAAAAACAAAAAAAAAAAAACCGCCAAGTTCTAGAGCCCAGTCCCAATGCACACATCTACAAAACAGCCCCCCATCGAAGACTCGGGAAACATTTTGGAAGAGGAGGCAGAAATTCTGTACGAGCCAGAGGATTAGGAAGTTTTCTATGAGATTGTGTCTCCTAGTAATATCAGCAGCTACACCCATAAAGTCTCACCAACAGGACCGCCCAAATGTGAGCTGAACCAGGAGGGCACCAGCAAACACACCCAACTGGATGGAGGAAAGCCTGTGGGTCCTCAGCTCTGCACAAAGAATTACAGGCAACCGAGGGAAGCTGGGGCTGGGAGAGGTGCTGTTCCCTGGGGTAGAGCACACCAACATGTTGTTAAGTGACAAATGGTCAGCCCTAAAACATACATACAACCAACATTATATGGCCTGAACAGGTTATATTTAGGAATGCATATATATATATTGCATATACATATATATACATATACATATACATATATATATATACAGTGCACAAATACATATATGCATGCAATAATAGAGGAAAAAAGGTCATGAATTTGCAGGAGAGTAGAGAAAAGTATATGGAAAAGTTTGTAATTAAATTATAATCTCAAAAATTTTAGAAATGCTTTAAAATTGTATATTGTGGCAGTAAAAAAGATAAATGAATTTATAAGCATAACTAACTGGCTAAATAAATCAATTAAAGGAAAGGAAATGGGGGCAGGAACTGACACAGCAGCAGCAGCCGCAGCCGTCAGGCTTAAGGCTGTGAAGCTGGTGTCCCTGAGAGGCCTGTGAGAAACGCTGCAGCCCAGAGTGGAAACTTTCTTGAAGATAACCACAAGTCTGAGAGAACAGGGAAAGGCCGCTCTTTCTCCCCTGGTGAGTCAGCCTGCTTTAGAAGGCTGGGAAAGGAACTTAAGCAACATCCTTCATTCCGCTCGTATCACTGGGAGGGCTGTTAACTCTCTGCTTCTCTTTCCCATGCCTTCGATACCCACAAAACTTGTCCCTGGCTTTCCCAGATTGGTCCTGTAATACCCACCATAGACACCCCACTATGTACCAGCAAAGGGGGAAGCTGTCTCCTGATTTTTTGACCACCTGAACAAAGCCCACCAGTCACAGGACAACTAGCTAGCAGAGGGGCTGCTTTTTAAAATAATTCCCAGAGGGCAGTTAGCTCACGTTGGCAGGAATGTAAGGAGGGATGGATATCAAAAAGGAAACAAAGAAACAACAATGCCTGGTAAGCAGAAGCCAGAGACAGACAAACTGCCATGAGACACCTCAGAGCGGGTTCCCGTTCATGAGCATGTGCCACCAGAAACAGCAGAGCCGGGTGTCTCCTGACTCAGAAGGGTCCTTCATGTCTTACCTGGCGAAGAGTGGGTCCTGTCGTGCAAATGGAGGGCATGAGGGAAAGAGAAAGTGGTGGGAAAGGGGCGGAGGAAGGGAAGGGGAGGGCTGGAGGTGGGGGGAGAGGAAGGGGGTGGGGAGAGGGAAGAGGGAATGACAACGGGTAGCATTGGGCTTCCGAGAGCCAGGCCACGCTGTAGGGGGGAGGTTTACAGATGTGGAGCCCTAAAGATG